CCCTTTCTGACTCACTCTGTTTCTGTGTTTCTATGTCTATAGTAGTAGAAGAGTGGAAAACCACACAAATGCTCTCTGTTAGAGCATGATTTTACAACACACAGGCAGTGGTCAACATGCAGAAGTTGATGTATCAACTCAGGCTCTCCAAAGATCAAGTTTTCCTCCAAAATCTTGTGTGTTTATTATATTTTTCTCCCACCAAGTTGTGGAGAGGGAGGATTTTATCTTCAAAATATTTGGAATACTTTATCCCCTGAGATAAAATGCAGTGAAGGAGGGTGTTTGACCCAGAATCCCAAGGTTGCTTCATGGCTGAGCAGGAATTTAAAGCTATGTTGTCCTGGTCCAAGTCCCACAGACTATCCATACTAGCTATTCATAGCTATTTTCTTACAGTTTGTGGGTGCTTTATCTTTTCAGCCCTCAGGGCTAAATTGGGGTGGTAGGGCTCTAGACTTGTGCGTGCACACACATTCACAGACAGCTCACACATACATATATCTTCCACACGCACACTCATAAAAAGGGCCAGTATGACATAGTGGTTGAGCAGGGACTTGGAAGATCCAGGCCTAGTCCCTATTTGGCTATGAAGGTAACTGGGTAACTTTGATCCAGTAACTGACAGTCTAAACTAACTCAGTGGAGTTATCATGAGGGTAAAAAGGAAAGAAAGTGAAGGGTGTCCTCTTACATGCAGTGATTTACATTCAGGTAACACAAGGCCATCCTGCATACCTCTTTTTCCTTTTCCTTTTCCCATTCATTAGTTATTTTCTGTTTAACAACCATGAATTTAGTACAGTTGATAATTATTGTTCCTTTTATACTTATAGAAACCAGACTTTGCCCTGGGCTGTCTAGATCTGAAAGGACCCAAACCAATTTGTAGCCCTTTGTATAGTTGAAACAACTTTGATAAAGCAATTGCCTTTTAAACAGTGTGCTGTTTTATTTTGTTATTGGTTTCTACTGTATTCTCTATAATTTGACATTTGTGCAAACGCCAATGAATAATTGGCAATCGTATGGGTGACGGGAGGGGAGCAGCAATCAAACAAGCAAGTCAGTGAGGCTGGTTGATTGTGTAGAACCAGGTCATGAAATGTTATTTAGTCAGGCATGTAGCTGACCTGTAGAATTCACAGCAGCTAGATATGTAAAGGAAATGATTAATTGTTTTCTTTAGAAATAGTACTTTTGATTGGGTTCATTTGGTCTCTCTTTTTTTAAACTTGAAAACCAGTTACAGTGACTTGAAGGAATTTGTATACCATTGGCCCCCATGTTGTTCAGGGTTTTTCTTCTCTGTTCCCATGACCCCATCCCCACCTGATACTTTGGAGCAAAAGACACTAATGCTTGCTGAGGGCCAGAGAGCTGACCTGAAGAGCCAGTGGTCTGATCCAGTATGTTCCTGTGCTGATGTATGAGGTGGAAAGCATAATTTGTCCTGCACAGGCTTTGAATCAAGAGGTTGCATTCACATTTTTTCTAGTCTATCCAGAGCACATCTAAAGAAAAAAACTATGATAGTTTCAGACTGGTTGAGTGATTACATGTTTGGCTTGTTGGAGGAAAGGACTAATGCCAGTATGTTTATTAATGTTTTAAACAAAGGAGGCAAAAGGAATTGTCTGAATGTTAGAAATGTAAATAAAGCCAGAAAAGATAACATGCACTTTTGGCTTGAAGTGCACCTGGGTAAGTTTGCATGACATGACAATTATGCAACAAGTGAAAAATCTATAGATTGTAGCTTGTTTGTGGAACAACCCACAGTGCTCCTAACAGATGACTGAGCTCACTGCAGGTTGACCCCCCCCCCACTCCTTCACCCATGGCTCTGCATCCAGTATCCCATGGGATTCTGCAGCTATTGCCACCTTTCCCCGCTGCAACCATGATTCCTTTTGTGCTTATGGCTCCCCCTCATTTCATCTTATTCTTCCAAGGGATTGTTTTTCATAGCTGACAGTCTGTGACAGCACCTTCAAAGTGCCCAAGTGACATATTGAACAAGATGCGAGTGGTTTGCGCCCCCCCACTTTAAAATGTTTAAAATCTGTTGTAAACCACCCTGAGACATCTGTGAATGGACAGTATAGAAAAGTTTGAAATAAACAAACATTTGAGCAAGTATTTTCATTAATTTTTGAAGCTGATTAGTTAGTCTTGCATAAGTGCAGAGGTGAGCATTGCCCCAACCATGCACATCGACCCAGATCATCAGCAAACAGGTTTATTTCTTAATTTTCACTCTTTTGATAGCCTTCAAAAGGTGAACTGTCAAGGAAAAGCACAGTGTGACGAATCTTTGCTTATGAAAAAGGGGTGGATACTTTTTTTCAACTGTCCCAGAAAGGTCTTCAAGGTTTTTAGTGTTACCTTCAGTGTTCCTAGTGCCCCCACCTTTTCCATCCTTTCACAAGACTCTTGATGCTTGGAAGAGGGGAAAGTACATCATACCATATTTTCACTTGCAGTTATTTTGGACAGCTGTCAGAAGTAAGGCTTCCTTCTAAAACAGGAATCTCAGCAGAGTTGAACAAGAGCATTTTGACAGGAAAATACACTGTGCAATTGGCATGGGGGACATCAAGCCAGTGACAGTTGCTCCACCAAGCAGTTTAGGCATCGGCAGGGCAGCCATCACTGGCAGTTCCTAGGCAAATTCAGCAAGAGTGGCAAGGGCTTTCTGCTGTTCTTGTTGAGCAGCTGACTTGCCAGTTCCCTATACTCATGATGCACATGATGAAATCAGTTGCCCGGGTTTGGATGACCTGGCAGTCCACTGGGGGCACAAGAACCCTACAACAAGCTATGGGTTGTCTGGGTGACTTGTTACCCATAAATAAGCAGCCCTGTGGGGAGTGGTTGGGGTTCACGTAACATGGCAACTGACCGTGACTAGATACTCATGATATGGTGCCCAGTCACTGTCAGTTAAACCTCTCTTCTTTACACAGGTCGTTCATATTATCTTTTCTACTAGGCCTTTGTCCTGATCTCTCATCTCAACTGAAACAAAATTAAGACCACGTAACAACATGTGTGGTGATGATGCCGTCAGAGCAGTCTTTGGTTCTGCCTCTCTGTCCAGAAGTGTGGCTTTGAATCTCAATCCGGACAACCCAGTTGATGTCTGAGCAGTCCAAGGCACTGTATTTAGGCCACAGTTTTCTTTCAAGGCATGGATCTGAATCCTACGCCATGCTATCTTGGACTGTTAGCTCAGTGGGATGGACTGTTAGCTCAGGGGCAAAGCACATGCTGGGCTGGGTTCAGTTCCTGGCATCTCCAGTTAAAAGAATCAAAGAGCGGGCCACATAAAAACCTCTTCCTGAAAGCTGCTGCCAGAAGGGCAGATGTAATGGCTGTCCCACGGTGAGTAACAGCCATCAGACTCTCCTGGCATTCTTTGTGGCCACACCACCACTGCCAAATTTGCTGCTGGGATTTTTTGCAGTGGTACAACTGCTAAAAAAAAGAGAGCTCTCTTTGGTTTTGTTTTAAATAAAAACCGGACCTTTGGTAGCCATACTGCCAGATACTGGTGTCAAATTCAATAGTTCTCCAGGAATGGGGTGCAGGGTACGAGGAAATAATTGCCCCTCAGAAGTTGTCTGCACTCAGACTAGGTAGAAAATGTGAAGCCGTCGCCTACGTTTCTGTAATTCTTTCCTTGCAAAGCTTGTCTCTCCTGTTCTTTTTTCTTCATCCCTCTGTTTTGTTCCTTCATACCTCTAACTATCCAAACCTAGATTGTAAACACTTGACAGCAAGGAGTGGTATTACTTGTTCATATTTAATCTGTAAAGAATCAGATATGCTGATGCTCAGTTAATAATGTTGTGACTCTGGGAACTTCTGTAAAATGCTGGTGCCATCCAAAAGTTAATGACAGCACTTGTATGGAGCATGTTTTGCTTTAGCCGCAGGTCATAAAGTAGATAGGAGCTAAAGGGGCTTTCCTTTAATCCTTTGGGCAGTGTCTGTAATGCAGATGGACTTTGCAGCTGTGTGTGAAGCAAGACTGAGAGATCCCCTTGAGGATGAGGAATGAGGTCTAAGGAAAGGTTTGTGTTGCTGAACTGTTTGATTTTAGAACTCTGCTCTTAAGCCAAGTGGAAGCTTGGGTACTTGCAGTATAATGGACATGAAAGAATCTTTTTCTTCCCCTCCCCCCACTCTTTTCTTTGAACATATTCACACTTTTAGTACATTTTCTCAAAATGCCTTTGAGCACTTTCAGTAATTATGCTACATATAAATGTGGGGTGCGAAAGCATTCTGAAACTGAAATTGTAGCCTGAACAGTGGTGCTCTTATAGTTACATTATAGATTGATGATAGAAGCCAAAACTTATTTAAGCATCATATGTGGAAATAATCTTAACCCAACTAGCTATTCTAGAGTGTCCTGGATTCAGGATCATAAGAGCAGTTAGAAATGACTGTAGTGCACTCAACATCCATTCCATTCTCTTTAACCCTCGATTAAAAGATTACTGATCCATTTTCCAGATAAAATGTACTTGAAGAAAACCATACAAATAATACACTTAGTGGAAGTTACTATGCATGCATGTTGTCCTCTACAAGATTTGAAAAGCATGTATTGAGTTTGCCTGGGGCACTGAGAAAGGTGGTATCAGAGTGGCTAGGACTGCTGTGGCCAATACCAAGAGGAAAAGCAGGTGTTATCTCTGGTGTCAGTGTAGCTGGAAGAGTCTGTGGGATCCATGGTTGCATGGATGCACTGGGTCAGTGGTGGGGGGATGCTATCAGAATGACTAAGAAGAGGCTGCCTTGGCCACTTTTGGATAGCAGTGTGTTAATGTGCCTGCAGAATAGTAAGCAGTTTGATTGCAGAAAAAATTGTAGCATCCAGTCTATGACATGGATGGAGAGACAAAGGAACATTTTTCATTATCTGGAGATTGACGTTCACATGTTGGGTTGGTGAGCTGTATCTTGTTTTATCTCTTCCCCAGAATTGTCTTCAATGTCTTTTGAGGAGCTACTGCAGTTGAGAAATCGGGTCGGGACCAAAGCTTATCGTCAGATGACTACTGGAAAGAGAACACCAAATGTAACAGAAATAGAGAAGAGGCAGGGCCCAAGCAAACACAGGTAAATGTATATGAAAGGCAAAAACGTGTCTGTGCTCCCATGTGTTCTAATGGGGTTTGCTGTTCTGTTAAACCTAGTAGGGCTTATCTCTGAGTAAACATGCATAGGACTGCACTGTAAGTCCCTTTTTGTTTACTGTGGGCTCCCCTAATTTGGTGTCTTCCAGATGTGTTGGACTACAGTGGTGGGGCACCAGGTTAGGGAAGGCTGACTAAGGGTATAATTCTGTAGTGACTGGATCCTCTTCTCCCAAAATACAGCATTTCAGGGCAAATATTTCAGACTCTGAATCTGAACTGGAAGAAGAGGTGGGCTCGGAATGCTTAGCTGAAATGCCAAGGTTAATGAGCTTTGGAATAAGACATTTGGCTGGTGAGAACCAGACTGCTTTGGGGTAGAAGGAAAGCACTGTGGAACAGGGGAGGGGGTGTGACTTTATAAGTCCAGTGGTTCAACAGCAGATCAAGCAGGCACACCAGTTAAGTAATGTCTGGTGTTCCTGCAAACCTCTTTGACGGTGGAGTATTTGGCTGGGAAGGGAGGAGGAGAATTTCACTTGGAATCAACTGCTAATATGAATAAGAACTAACTCCACAATTAGAGGGTTTTATCTGGACGGCTGCCTCTTGCTAATGACCTTTATGCTAACTCTCTTTGTATCTGGGGATTGTTTAGCTGAGAAAAAGAGAAAGAAGGATAGACATGATAGAGATGTTTAAGTTATGCATTGTATGGAGAAAGTGGAGAGGGAGGCATTTTTCTCTCTCTCCTCATACTAGAACCTGGGTTCATTCCATGAAGCTGATTGGTGGGAGATTCAGGACAGATAAAAATAAGCATTTCTTCATATAGCCCATAGATAAAACTATGGAATTCATTGCCACAGGAAATAGTGATGACCACCAGTTTGGATGGCTTTAAAAGAAGATTGGAGAACTTCATGGAGGAGAGGGTTATAATTGGTTACTGGCCTTGTTGGCTATGTTCTACCTTCCTTGCTAGAGGTGGGATGCCTGCATACACCAGTTGCTAAGGAGTTTGGACAGGTGTAACTGTTGTACTCCTCCTACATTGGAGATCCTGTGGACAGCTGGTTTTCCAGTGTGTGAACTTAGTGCTGGACTGGATGGACCCTTGGTCTGATCCAGCATGGCTTTTCTAATGTTCTAATTTAACAAAGATTGTAGTTAGATGCTTCTGTTCTAATCTGCCAGGAAGGGAAAAGGAGCAAAACTGGTTTTTGACTTTGTATTCCTGTTTAAAGAGAGAAAAATTCTGTAGTTCCTAGCAGTCTCTGGCCTGGATGGATGCAGGATATTTTTCCTAGTGTGCGTTAGGTTGCACCCTTAGAAACATCTAATTTGTGTTCTGGACATCTAGAATAGTAGAAATGTACTCAGCCTAGGGAGGAGGGACTGTTTTTTTTTTTAACCAGAGGCTCCTTTTCCAGGTATTGCTTTCCATGAGGGCAGAAGGCTTTCTGGGTAATATGAACTTTTCTGAAGAGCCAAAGTGTCTGCTTTACCCTCTGCAGGATCGCTCCCATGTTCTGTTGGCATTTTTTCTAACTCAACCTGATGCATTCTCTGCCTTCTTTTTCTGAGAGATTCTATTATGTGGCTACTTGACCCCTGCTTGTGCTCACAGCTCCTCACACTTTGGTGCACTCAGTAAATGTCATTGATGTGATGAGTAATTTAGACATGAAAGCAGACAGAAATGCAAGCAGATCACTGTGTGGACCATCCTTGGATGCCTCCCTGCAGTTCTGTGCACATTGACTGAGTGTCATTAGCCTTTGTTCATGGTCCTGAAGCCAGGTTTCAGTCCACATAAGTGTCACGGCTCAGTGAATGTAAAGAGACATCTGCTCTTTACTTCAGCAGTTCTTCCTCATCTATTTCCAACTTTCAGCTGGAAACATCTCTTTTCCTGTCCTCCACCCTGCTGTCCATATTAATATCTCATGCTGTTATTTCACCTTGTATCTGAGGCTCTTGCTGGGTGTTCAGATAATGCCAGAAACTTCTTAAAATGCCTCTTCTATTACGGCTTGCTCTATTTTTAACTCTCCAAAACCTTTTGAGAGATGCTTTATACAAAAGTCCAAGCGCAACCGGAATCGAATCAGAGAGAGACAGAGAGAGAGAGAGAGAGAGTGAGTTTACTTAAAGGAACTGTCTTGGCTTCAGTGGAAGACTCCCAAAATTCTGCTCTGCTCAGTGGTGCATTCTTGAATGAAATTGGATTCAGAAGCAACTCGCCACTGTGATTTTTTAAAAAATGAACTGAACTGGATTTATAAAATCTTCTGTGTGCTGATTGGAAGCCACTATATGTTGGAAATGAAAAAGGAGGGGTGTCCAAAGGTCTGCAGGGACCTTACTGCTGTGAGAGTTAGTTATTTAATCAATGTATAGCCCATATACTACATCTTAAAAAACGGTTTTGACATGGTTTGTAATACAAGAAATCAAAATCAGGTGTTAAAACACAAAAGCATCACAATGATTTCTATATATCCTGATTGTTTTGAGCACTTACCTTTTAAATGCTCAAAATATAACAATTCACAAATCAGGCAGTGCACTCAAAGAAGGCGTGGGTGAAGAGAAAAGTGTTTAATAGGCAGCTAAAGCACAGCAAGGTGGGCACCTCCTGAATGGCAGCAGGGAGGGCATTGCTCAGAGTGGGTGTCACTACGAAGAAGGCCGGCTTCTGGATTGCCACAATATGGCAGAATCTGCAGACCTTGGGGAAATAGACCATTGTTGGCACTTCACCACATCTCAGATGGGACCGTGAGCTCCCTTGTTTCTCTATCCCTCGTAACATCGTCATTTTCCAATTCCCTAGATGGGAGTTCAGTGATATTTCCCAAAGAAGCTACTTCTTAGAGAGCCATTTCATCCCCAAGATGAGCTGCATGTTCTGCCTTTTCTTGCTGTGTCCAGAGACTATAGTATAAAGAAATGGTTTCTGCAAAAGGAGAGTGACTTCTGTTCATGTCACTGCCAAATAGGATTTAGGAGTCATCTTTAAAGGCTTTATGCCGCATCTTATTAATTGTTAATGTTGGCATTGTGGTGTTGTCACCACCAGAATGAAAGTGACGAAGCAGGTGACAGGATGACTTACTAAAGCAAACTGTTGGAGCGTTAGCAAAGAATCTTGAAGCTTCCTGAGAGCTCTGCCTACTCTGTCATTAGGATAATTGGCTGCTGTGGGTTGAAAATGCTTTGATAGGTAATAAGCCTGTGATGATGCTCTATAGTAAGAAACTGCATTTGAAAGAGGTGGGAAATAACAATGCAAAAACACTCCTTTGGCAAAGGGTTGATCTTGTCTACATTCTTTTGAATCAGTCTCTATAATGAGTTTGGTTTCTTTTATATCCTGCCTTTTCATTGACTTACAGAATTAAAGTAGCTAACAAACTGAAATTGTGCAAAGCAATTGGAACAGCAGCAACAACAAAATCTAGCTTAAATGAGAACAGAGTGGTGCTTGGTTTCTTCCCCCACCCCTTTATATTGAAAAGTTTACATATCACTACTTATAAAATGAAAAGCATTGGACAGCTACAAAACTCGTAAATGCAAACTTTAAAAGCAGAAGCAATGCTACAAACTGTTCAGCATAAAATTGCAGATTAAAAGCTTTCTCGAAGAGGAGGATTACATCTTTGTTACATCGTAAATTGTAATTAGTCTGGATATTTGGGGAGATCACCTGGAAAGGCATCCCATAATAATGGAGATGGTGACTGGAAAGCCCTGCTTTTTTTAGCTCAGTAGGTGACACGCGGGCCCTTCTTCTTTCCCTTCCCTAATATGTAATGCCAAAATATTGAAATGGGCTTAGAAGCTATGCAGTAAAAAGAGCAGATCCCACCACATTTGTACCATCCTTGAGAAGCCCCGTATTGCAGCATCCAAGCTTTGAGGCTACAGATGTCTAGATGATGGTTTCCAGATCCTTTAAGCTTTACTGCAGCTACCGGATCAAGTACTGATGATAAAAAGGCATTTCCTAGATATTTAAGAGTTTTTGAGCATCTGAAAGTAGTTTAGGTTGAGGTATATTTCTGTAGAAATGTAAGTGTCATTCCATCAACTCAAAACCGTTTTTGTCCTGACTATATGGAAACCATATTTACCTGCTTTGCCTTTTGTGGTGCAGAACTGCAGTTCATGCAAAGGTAACATTTAGAGATCTCAGATGGATCACCTTTTGAGGTTCACAGCAATGTATACAAAAGGGAAATCATCCCCAACTAGCAATAAAGTGTGATATACAAATAAAGGTTATGGAGCAGCATTTTAAACAAAAATGTTGTCCCTGAACATAAAAATATAATCAGAGAAGATGTTCTTGTTTGAAACTTTGTTCCCTCATATTTATTCAGAGCAGTGTACATGTAATGAGTTTCAGTCTCTGCCCTCCAATTCTGAGGAAAATGAAGCCCTCTTTAAAGGTAATAAATGCAGGTGGGAAGGGGGCAGACTGATAAGAGCACTTAATTAGATACACACAGCCTGGAAGCTTTTTTATTAGCCTTTTTCCCTATTATGCATACTGATTATATAAATTAATTTGCTATACAGATTGCAATCATCACAGTACAATCAGACTATCAGAATCCACCTACGCCAACAGAATTAAAATGTTTTCCTGAGTTTCCATATGTATACCCTTTCATTGCATATCTTAGTTAAGTAATGTGTCTGGATGGATCTGGTGCCAAAACAGGGTCAGGCACAGTATGTACTGAAGAAAGGAACACTCTTTCTGCCCTTACTGAAAAATAGTGAGTATATATTATATGAGCCCTTTCTTCTACCCTTCAGCTTTGCTCCCTTCTGAAATAAAAGTTGCCAATGGTTGGCTGTCTGTGTATTGTTATGGGATGGAGGTTTCTGAAAAGTCTCTGGAGATAGATTCCTGTTCAGATGTAAAAAAAAAAAAAAGACAGTTGATAATCCATAATATTCAGGTTG